CTCAAAACTCCTTTTCAGCACGAAGGTCTGGCACATCTTATCCTGTCAGATAATTTCTTCTTGAAAACTCCAAATAAATTACCCAAATTGGGGCCCTCAAGTGAGATGCTGATGTACCTGGGAGATCATGCAAAGGCAGCTCTTAAACAAAGAATTCTTGACATAGAATTACAAATAGAATATACCAAGATGTCACTTAGAGCTCAATTGGGGCCCAGAAAATTTCATTTTAAACCAGCATTGTATCTGGCCCAACTTACAAATAACAAACTTTAGAGGGCCTTTATACTATTGTGGTTTAATATCTTACCATCAGCAGTACAGGAGGATAAATACCACAGAATTCCCATCTCTTACTCCTTTTTTGCATGCCACTAGTGTTAAAAACTCATGTCCAAAATGTTTTTGCCTCTCTGGACGTAATAATTGGTGCAATATCCTTGTGATTATGGCGCGGGTACATACATTTGCCAGAGCCAGTCTGGTGTAGTGGTGAAGGCATCAGGCTAGAAACTGGGGGACTCTGAGTTCTAGTCCAGCTTGAGGCACGAAGCCAGCTGGGTGACCTTGGGCCAGTCACTCCCTCTCACCCCTGGGAAGAAGAAGGCAAGGGCAAACCACTTCTGAAAAACCTTGCCAAGAAAACTGCAGGGGCTAATCCAGGCAGTCTCCAGGAGTCAAAACCCAGTCAAAAGCTCAAAACAACAGCAGCATACATTCACAGAAGTTAACTGTCCACCACTGATCGATAACCCTAACCCTAAGTCATTTGATGAGGGAAAAAAAAGGAAGACAGCCGAAATAAGTGGACATAGTGTAATCCATTGGTGCACAAAACTTAACCTGCAGGCAAAAACTTTTTGGTAGGCAAAAAAGGAAGAAGAGCTAAGTCCCCTATGCTGAAAGGCTTTGTCCCTGCAAAGATAGGAGCATTGAATCATGGGGTCATATTCTGCTGTATTGTAATTTTTACTGAGACACCCACAATGAGTTACTAACATCTCTTCCTAACCCAGAAGTATTGTATGTGCAACTTCTTTTGGCAAATAAAGATTCCAAGATAACTCTTGCTGTTGCAAAGTTTATATTTGCACCCTGTAGAAATTGTGCATTGTTGACAGCAGAGTAGACAAGGCACAACTACAGTCCTTTTTATCATGCATGTTACATTATAATTTATATTACATATTTTGGGTTTTTTTTAATGAGGTCTGGATTAGTGACCTGTAATGAAGTTTGACTTGACGTGATTCTGAAAAACAAGAAGTGCTGTAAGGAGGCATCAGAAGCTGTTTTGTACAAATCCTCATCGTTTTATTGTAGGAATAAGCTCCAGATTTGAACAAAGTACTTGAAGATGTTCGATGTTCTCAGTTTTTGATTATATATTTCCAGTATCAAGATGTGTCTGGAACTGCTTTTTTCAAGCTATTCCAATGCAGTATTGTTACCCTCACTGAAGTACTTTGAATTTAGTATTATTTGTATTTAAGTGTTCTTAAGTATTCCAAATTTGCAGCAGGATGAATTGGCTCTAATAACATTTTATCTTATTAGGCTTTATTGTCGTCAGGAGATGGTGCAAAAGACTGATTACAACTACTTTATTTTTTTTTTTTAAATGCCTTTAGCTAATGCCTTCAAACTCTTCCAGGTTTCATTCTGAAAGAGGAAATCTTCTATAAGAGGACGTTGGTTGTTTCCTTATTTATTTGAAAATTTCTGCCCCCTCCTCCCGCTTTCAGGTAGGAAATTGGAAAAGAAACTTCACTTTTCTTCCCCCTCCGAATGCCGCCGCCGCCGCCTCGAGCTCCACGTTAAAGTGCTTTGATTGACGTGCTATTCGCTGAGCGTTCACCTACCCCCTTCGACCACCCACACAGCAACTGCCTTT